TATATTTAAAATTGTTTCTTGACAAGCTGACTTGGCACTTAAGTGCACTTTTTTATGAAGAAGAAAAAGTACAATGAACTGCTTTTCCTCAAGCAATAATTGTTTCCAACTTGTCTGGGAATTGCGTGTCTGGTAACTTGAAGGCCTTCCACTGTGGCTAATGGAGGCTTTTCACTGCCTGTAGAGACAATACAGTAAGCAGAGGGAAGGGGGGGGGCAGAACATGTGGAGATGACTTACTGTGTATGTACTCCCTTGTATTTTGTTAAAGCTGGAACATTTGATATTTTTCCATTTATTTATGAAAAAAATATGAACCTATTTTCATTTGTACAAGCTAATTGTTTTTTAAAGCAAGTCACCTTGGGGTGGCTTTAATTATATAAGTCAAGCACATGTAACAAATTCAAAACCTGCAGTTAACAGGATATTAGACATCAGTCCTGATAACCAAATATTAAAGATTCTCTTTAAAAAAGACTGAACATGTTTACAGGTTTGAATTAGGCTAAAAGGTCTTGCAGCGGCTTTTCATGCCCCTTCAAATTAGAATGGAACTACTGTACTTTGCCATTTTTCTATAAATCAGTATTTTTTTTTAATTTTGATATAATACATTGTGTGAAAAAAAGAAAATGGCTAACAAACTGTATTAAATCTTAAACAATGTATAAAGATTGTACTTTAGCCAGTTCAAAGTGTATATTTATTCATAATGAATTATAACAGTTATATTTTTGTGTTTTCTTGTAAATCTTTCTTTTCCCTTAAATACAGATAATTCATTTGTATTGCTTATTTTAATATGAGCTTACAACAAAGACTTCAGGAACAAACTTAGTAGGTTCAAGGTTGTTTATATGAACTGTCTCACAAAGATTTTAAGTATAAATAGCTAATTGGAATGGTAGACCTATAAAATTAAATGCCTTGTATAAAATCCAAGATGAACGCAAAGTTGTCACTTGTATTGACTTTATGTTGTATGATTCCAACCTCTGTTTTGTTTGGCACTTGTATTTAATTCTTCACCTTTGTAAGACATTTGTATATTGCGGATGTGTTCATTGAAGCTATTTAATACCTGACACTGTTAATACATAGTACTTTACTGTACAGACTGTTTTACTGTTTTAATTGTAGTTCTGTGTGCTTTTTTTGAATGGGGCTGGCATGTTTTGTTTTCTGGCAATACATGTGAGAATCTTGAAGCGTTTTGTTGTAGATGCTAATGTGTCAGAATCCTTAATCCTTTACATTCAACTTTTCTAAGAAAAGCATTTCCAGTCTTGTAGTGTGTGCTTACAGTAACTAATTTTGTTGAAAAATGGTTTCAAGTTACTCAAATTTGTACAGGATTGTAAAGATTTGTTGACAGCAAAATGTTGAAGAAAAAGCTTATAGAATAAAATTATAAAGTATATATTAGGATCTGCAGACATGAAGAATTATGTAATATATTGTACAAATGTAAGCAAAGGCTCTGAAATAAAATGCCATAGTTTGTGAATCCTTGATTTTGTTTGTAAAAGGTTAAGTAATTTTAGTTCTATTCTGTATGTGATGGCACAGCATGTACTATAGGGGTTTATACAGATACCCAAAGAGGGAGTGTTAAAAACTGAAGTCTGATAGCCAGGACTGGAGGTGTAGCTCAGTGACACAGGGCATGCTTAGTATGTGCAAAGCCCTGGTTCCAGTCCCCAGGATCTCCTAAGAAAGTTAGCTAGCTAAGTGATGTTTTTAGGCTGTTCTTATATGGCCTTGTGTACTCTATTGCTTGAAAATACTGGTTCTGTTATGAGTTGGAGGCTTGTCTAAAGGAGGAAAAGCCAATGTTAAAACTATTTCTTAAGGGTCTGGTGTAGTGGAGTTCCAGGCCAGTTGGGGCTGCAGGGAAACCTTGTCTCAAAAAGACCAGCAAGATGGCTTACCAGGTTAAGGGTGCTTGTCACCAAGACTGATAACCTTGGTTTGATACCTGGAACCTGCATGGGGATGGAAAGAACAAACTTGTGCAGCTTGTCCCTTGGCCTCTGCCTACACACTCACACACAGATGTTGTGGTGCCTCACATCATCTCAGCACTCAAGACAGGATTGTTGCAAGTTTAAGGCCATCTTGGGGTTACAGAATGAGACCTCAAAAATAAATTTTTTCTTGAGAGGGGATCTTCCTGTGTTGCCCAAACTGGCTTCAAACTCACAGATTCTCAATTCTCCTGCCTTGAGCCTCCAAGTACTGGGAACAGGTCCATACTGCCTCGTGCTCCTCAAGTATTTTTCTTGTATTTGAAACCATTGCTAGCAGTGACTCTTGTCTTTTAATTTGATGGGACTTTTGTGGTTCTCTGAGTGAGTGACTCTTGTCCTGGATACTCATAAACCAGCCAGTGCTCAGTCCTCACTCTCAAGGAATCCTAGTTCTCTTTTTAAGACAGGGTTTTCTTTGATAGCCCCAGCTGGCCTGGAACTATGTAGACCAAGCTGGCCTCGAACTCAGATCTGCCTCTGCCTCCCAAGTGCTAGGATTGAAGGCGTGCACCACCATGCCCGGCATAGAATTAATTCTTTAAGTACTTAAGGGATTTCATTATGCAACCCACCTCCTTCCTTAAATATAAGATCTTAACTATGTAGCCTGGCTTATGTAGACCCAAGTTGACCTGGAACTCACATATACCCACTTGCCTCTGTGTCCTGAGTGTTGGGGATTAAATGCGAACCACCACACTCAGCTCTAGTATGCAAATTTTTTTTTTTTTCTTTTTTTTTGGTCTTTTTGAGACAGGGTCTCCCTTTAGCCCCAGCTGGCCTGGAACTCTGTAGACTAGGCTGGTCTGGAACTCACAGAGGTCTGCCTGCCTCTGCCTCCCAAGTGCTGGGATTAAAGGCATGCACCACCTGGCTAGTACACGAAGCTTTTGAGACCCACTTCTTGTTCCAAGATGTTGACCATGGAGTATAAAGGAGGAAGAAGGCCAAAGGGATGGGTTCACATAGAGAGTCTTGACAACCATCTAAGGATTTGCACTGTGCCAAGACATATAGGTAGTAAGTCTGGTGTGGCTTGTGAGGAAGGGCGGTAGTGGCAGAAACTGGAGTGCTCAGGTGTAAGGGACTCCAGAGTTCATCCTCATCTTACACAGGCAGGAAAACCAGGACTCAGAAAGGGGAGTCACCTTCTGATACTGCACAGTCCTTGTCCTTCCTCTTTGTAGTGGAACACTCCTTTCCCCAGCTGCTGAGAATGCTGGGGCCGCCAGTGCAGCGAGTCTTCTCTAGGAATGGCCTGAAGACTGCTATCATGCCTTAGTTGTACACCCTTCCCCAGTGATAGCCAGTATCCCGTGACTGCTCCAGGCCAGAGTGGAATGGACATGTGAGGCTGACGTATAGTTTAGGAAGCATGGCAGTCCCTCTTCTACTCAGTTTGACTCTTTAACTCCCTGCAGGCATTGAGTCTAAGAGTGTCCTCCCATGCTGCCCTCAAAGCTCTGGCTCAGTCTGCTTCCCTGGGAATGTGGCCATCAAGCTCACTGGAGGTGTCAGGATAGGAAACCTTCACCTAACAGCCTTTCTGCCATACTAGCTGACCTCCCACCCTGATAACTCTTTTGAGCTTCATGATATTCATTTGTGACCTTGGGATATATTAGAACGATCAGAACAGGTTCTTGGGAATACATACCCTGGTGCTCAGCATGGTAATGGGTATGTATATACATCAAACAATTCAAGTGGGCCTCTAGCTTATCCACAGAAGGCCAAGTGCTCTGGTTTCACAAGTGCAAGGAACTGAGCCTAGACTAGAAAAGGTGCCTTCTTGTGCCTTCTGCTTCCCCTCTACCAAGATCCCTTTCCACCTAGAGAACTCTGCCTATAATACTCATGTAAAACATGATTATGGTAAAAATGGCCAGGACTTCCAACCTGTTCATATTCCTATTGCTAATAGTCATTTTCATTTTCTTTTTTATTCTTTGACAATATGGTAAATATATGTGATGTATTTTGATTTTATTTCCCATCCACTCATCTTCCCCTTCTTCCCCCTCTGAACCCCTTCTTCCAACCAAGTCCCTCCCCTTTTCGTCTTTATTTAAAATGTTCTGAATATTTTAAAGTGTGTGTGTGTACAAGCCCACGTATACACGTGTGCATATGCCCTTGGAGATCTATTTTTAAAAAAATTATGTGTATGAGTGAATTACACCCATGCCATGCTATACCGGCGGAGGTCAGAAGAGGGCGTTAGATCCCCTGGAACTGGAATTACTATGTGGGTGCTAGGACTCGAACCCGGGTCCCCTGTAAGATCAACCAGTGCACTTAACCGCTGAGCCATTTTTCCAGTCTTTTTTTAAATGACCCTTTGAGTTTGGGGTTGCTGGGATGCGGATGGGTGTGGAGTTCTTTGCCGGAGCACGAAAAACTTAGCAGTGACTACACCACTGAAGAAAAATGCCGCCCTGCTCCCAGCAGCCACCAACTCACTGCCAATAACCTCAAAAAGCGATTTTCATAAGTGAGAAAGTATCTGATGTGGGACCCGAAGGTTTCAGTTCTGAAGAGGGTTATGGAGTCAGGACGACAAAAGAATAGGGACCCTGAAGGAAGGTAAGCTAGGACGTCAGGGTGGTGGTCCTTTTGATACAGGGTCTCACTGCAGTCCAGGGTGGCCTTCGATGCAGCCCGTGGAAAGCCTGCCTAAGCCCCAAAGGGCTCTAAATGCCAAGTACCCACTGCAAGAGCAGCAGGGCAGAATCTGTCCGGTCGGTGAGAGCTGCGCCCCGGGGGCCGCTGACCTACTGCAGGAAGACTAACGGAGGTCCACGGTCACACCGACTTAGGGAGTCGGAACTCGCTCCGTGGTCTCAGGTCCTGAAAAATCCTTCCACATCCGAACCTACGTGCTCTGTCCTTCACCCTGGCCATACCACACTCCAGCCTAGCTGGTATTTGAGAAAACACCTCTCGGTAGCCCCAGGGTAACCCGGAACTCACAGTGTAGCTCAGGCTGGTCTCGAGCTGCCTGGCTGGCCAGACTTCCGGCACTCCCAGCCTCAGTTTCTCCAACACCCGCAGTTCCCAGGACCTGGAGGCCGCGCAGAGCGGAGCATGCGGACTTCCCCTTCTGCGCAGCCGCGTTAAGGAAGGGGCGTGGTCCTAAGCGGAGGGACGGGCTCCAGAGTGGAAATACCCGGAACCCAGAGGTAGCGGAACTCCGGACCAGCCGCTGCCCGGTAGTGCGGACTCTGTGGTGGTGGTCCCGGAAGTTCTGCCTAAGCATGGCTTCGGGAAGGAAGGCGCGGAAGAGAAAGAAGGATCCCGACGCGGGGTGCGTAGTTGGCGGCGTGGGGGGGGGGGGGCGGGGCGGGGCCTGGGGGGGGCGCGTGGCCTGTGGCTCTGGGGCGCGGGTGGGTCGCGAGCTCCCCAGGGCGAAGGCCCGGCGTGACTGAGCTTGCGGAGTGCTTTTGCAGGGAGACCCCCGACGACGGCGAAGGCCGTTTGGCCGCGGACTACCTGGTGGGACAGGTCGCCGACAGCCTGCCCGGCGCCCGCGCCCTCGGAGGCCGCGCGGCCCCACTGGCATCCCTCTTTGCCGCCGCCCCACGGGCTCCACCCGTGTTCGTGCCTGTGCCCCAGGTGAGTCGCCGGGCTGCGCGGAGTGGCCGTTAGGACAGGCTTCAGAATGGGTGCTGACCTAGGTGTTCGCAGGATGCTGAAGGCACATGTGTGCCCTTAGTCACACCCGTAGCCCAAATGGTTGATTGACAGGATTCCTTGTCGCTCCCGTTCTGGGTAGGGGGAGGATATCCTTGAGCTCCTGGTCCTTTCTTTGAACCGCGAGTGCTGAGATAAGGCTGCCCCAACCATACTTGGTATTTTGAATGTGGGTCTAATTGCCCAGGCTGATCTTTAGTTCACTCAGTAGCCCAGACAGGCCAGGAACTTGTCGTCCTCTGGCCTCTGCCTTCTAATCAGCAGCTGGGATTACAGGCTTGTCCCCCCAGGCCCATCAAATCTGGCTTTAGGACTAATTTCTTGAACTCCGCTTTTCTGTATAACCAGTGTGAGAGAAGATGTCCCACTTTAGAAAAGCACCAAAGTATTGCTTAGTGTCTTAAGTTTTGGAGACGGGATTTGCTAAGGTAGCCCTGAGGGGTCCGAGACTCAATGCTCCTCCTCCCTTGGCATCCTGAATGCTGGGATGATAGTTCAGTCTTAGGGTCAGCATTTTTTTTTTTTTGGTCTTTTTGAGACAGGGTCTCCCTGTAGTCCCAGCTGGCCTGGAGACCAAGAGACCAAGCTGGCCTCGAACTCACAGAGATCTGCCTGCCTCTGCCTCCCCAGTGCTGGGATTAAAGGCGTGTGCCACCACATCTGGCTGGGTCAGCATTTTTACCATTTGAGGTATTAAACATGACTTAAAACTTTTTTGAAAGGAAACATTTAAAAAAAGAAAATCTGGTGATGAAGAAGAAAGCACATCCCAGATTCAAAGACCAGTTTTGCAAGAGCCTGCAAAGAAGATGGAGGTGAAGAACCTCTCTGATGGGGCCAAAAGACTGGCAAACAGGTTGGTACAATCCTCTGTTAGCTTACTAACACACAGATGGTTTTAAAAAATTCTGGGCTTGAACTCACTGTATTACCTAAGCTGTACTTCAACTCTTGATCCTCCTACATCCGTTTCCCAAGTGCCCCGTGACAAAACCTGACTCGTAATTCTTTTGCCTAACTTCAAAAACTTTATTGCCTTTTGTTATTTTTTTCTTTTTATTACATTTATTATTTATTTGTGTGTGGACACACATGTGCCATGGCAACATGTGATCAGAGGACACCTTTCAGGAGTCTGTTCTTGCTTAATACCGTGTGGGTTCTGATAGTAGAACTCAGGTTGTCAGCTTGGAGGCAAGTACCTTTACCTGATGAACCATCCCACTGGACATCTTTTCTAAAGTATATCCTGAGGGCTGCTTATTGCCAGCAGTTGGTCACTACTACATTGACGCTTAGACGCTGTGTGGTGTCTTTGCATCTTCATCTGGCATCTGTTTCTCCTGAGTTAATATGAGTGCCTTCTCTGTGACTGCTCGCATGCTGCTGCTTTTTCCCAGAGTTCTCAGTCGTCCTCTCAGAGGATGCACCCTTTTCTATAGGCTAGTGCTTGTGTCTGCCCTAAGCGCTCTTATTATCTACACCTGTTGATCTTTTGACTATCAGCATCTGCACCTGTACATTCCTTATTCCTTGTCACCTCATGTTAATGTTTCAAATGAAGCTGGGGATGTAGCTCAGTTGATAGAGTGCTACTTGCTCAGCATAGGCAGGGTTCTGGCTTCAATCCCCAGCACTGCCAAAACCTGACATGGTGGCACACACCTGTAATCCCAGTACTTGGGAGATGGAGTCAGGAAGATCTGGAGTCATCCTAGACTACATAGTGGGTTTGGTTTGAGGCCAGCGTGGGCTCCATGAGTACCTATCTCAAAAAAACAAAACAAAACAAGGGTGCTTCAAATAAAAATCCTCATCATGCATTAATGTTGCCTTCACTTTCTAGCGAGTTGCCCAAACCAGTTGCTTGGAAGTCATCCTGTACACCCCTCTCTGCATAGCCCATCTCTGCATAGTCCTGGTGCAGCCATCTTGTTTTAAATAAGAAGACAAAATTTTACTGTATTTCCTAAACCAGTCTGTGATTCCTAGGCTCAAGATTGACCTGCCTCAGCCTCCCAAGTTGCTGAGCCTCTTTTTTCCATTTCTTTTTTCTGTCTAATGATACCCATCTTTGCTCTGCATGGTCTGTTTCTTTCACTTATACATGACATTGTGTAACCATTTCCTTCCTGATTGCCCTTCACTCTGCACAAATGTCTTAGATCTATCTTTCTTTTCTCTCTCTCTCTCTCTCTCTCTCTCTCTCTCTTTGTCCTGGGCATTGAACAAACAAAAACACATGCTAAGCAGGTGTTTTGTCACTAAGCTATTGAGCTATGCCCCCAGTCCCGAGACCTAAATTACTTTTGTAAGTGCAGTCTCTCCTAGTCCAGGCTGACCTCTGACCCCCAAGTTTGGTGCCCACTCTCAGGTGCTGTTAGGTGATGGTGCCTGGTCCGCAATAGGATAAAGTCTAAGCACTTGTTGCATAACAGGTTATTCTCAACCCAGATCTTAACATTCCATGCTGTTGAGTTTCCTTTTCCTCTATGTTACACACTGCAGTGTAGTGAATAAACACTAGACATGGGCCTTCCCAAAAGTAGAGCTTTTGGTCTGATAGAAGAGTTGTAGTTATATTTACTAAGGACTATGCCACAGGCTGTTTCCTCCTTGAAAAGCCTTCCTTGGTCTTTTTCTTATGCTTCTGTGCCAGGTCATGCAGCTGTTGCCATGTTAATGTGATTTTTTGCCTGCCTCTTTACTGAAAAGTTTTTAAAGTTCTTTTGTTTCCCCAGAACCTAGAGCACAGGGGGAACCCAGTAAATGTATGCTGCCCATAGAACACAGGGGGAACCCAGTAAATGTATGCTGCCCATAACTCGTGCTGCCCATTCTCTTTCACCTTGAGATCTCTATCCGGTTCCCTTGTCTGGTGATGTCAGACCTTAAGAATCCATGTGCTCCAATACCTTATGTCGTGTTACCCTTTCATAGTTTACTTTGTAAGCAGTCCTTCAGCTATTATGGAATATTTGTAGAGGGGGACTCTGGCTTTCTCTGCTGACCTGAACCTGTTTTCAGAGGAAGTGTTTGGCTAGCATACAATCCTTTTCAGATTGCTAGGAAATGCTGCCCTGTCTTCATCCTTGAGCAGAGAAAGAAATTAAATTAAGGTAGAGCATAAACAACGTCACCAAGAGTTTTGAGGGAATTGAGGGGTTTTTGGGGGGGGGCGGGTGTCTTTTTTTTTTCCGGGAAACCAGAAGCCATTGGGAAGTGTGTGCGGTCAGGAGTTAGAACTGTTCTTGGGCAAATGCTCTTTTTTTTTAATGACTCTTTGTTCATTTCTTTAAAACCAGGGAAAGTGCTTTAGCAAGTGCTGATTTGGAAGAAGAAATTCTTCAGGAACAAGGACAGAAAAGGAAGAAGTCTAAGTCTAGTGTTAAAGCAGCAGGTGCAGAAGTACTCAATGATGTCGATCTCAGTCTTGATGTGGGTCAAAGAAAGAAAACACAAATCAACCTGGAAGAAGAGAGGTTGAAGAACGAGAGGACTGTATTTGTTGGCAACTTGCCTGTCACATGTAGTAAGAAGGTAAGCAAAAGCTGTTGCCTCAGATGACTATTGAATAAGCAGATAATGTCATCTACCGGCTTCCTTGGCCCCCATCTAAGCACCATGCCATAGAAGAGTCTGGTACTGAGTGGAAGAATGAGCTTCCCAAGTGCCTTCCATTCTGCAGGGCCTCCAAAATCAAAGCATGCTTTTTGCTTTCCCTGTGTATGTAGAGGTCACTATATTGGCAATACTGGGTCTAACATCTTCATCTTGCTCATCCTTTGAAGGATTGATTTATATTCTCCTCCCTTAAAAACAAAACAGTGCAGGGTGTGGTGGTACACGCCTTTAATCTCAGCATTTGGGATGCAGAGGAAGGTGAATCTTTGTGAGTTTGGTCTACATAGTGAGTTCCAGGACAGCTGGGGCTATAAGGAGACCCTGTCTCAAAAAAAAAAAAGACAGAAAAACCCAAAAACAAAACAGTAGCCAACGTGGTGGTGCACTCCTTTGACCCAGCACTTGGAAGATAGAGGCAGGCAGATGTCTGTGAGATGGAGAGAGGTCAGCCTGGCTTACATACTGAATTCCAGGCCAGTTGGGACTTCAGGGAGACCTTGTCTCAAAAACAAAAACAAACAAAAAAATTACCATCCTCCCCCACCCCCACCCCTGCTCAAGCAATATAGAAAACATTGTGGTTTTTCTTTCTGTTACTCCTTTTGTCTCCTAGCATTTGGCTTTTAGGGATGTCATACGCTTTGCTTTTTTCCTTTTAGGATTTTTATTTTCTTTTTTATGCATAGCCTGCATGTGTTAGTGCACCTGTGTTCTGCAGTGCCTTCGGTGGTCACAAGAGGGTGTCAGATCCCCTGGAACTGGAGTTATGGATGGTTGTTAGCCACCATGTGGGTCCTGGGAATGGAACCCAGGTCCTCTGCAAGAGCAGCCAGTGCTCCTAACCCCTGAGCCATCTCTCCAGCCCCTTTTCCTTTTTGTGCTTGAGATAGGAGCTTATTGTACAGCCAGACTGGCCTCTTTGATGGCAGTCCTCCAGCCTCAGCCTCCCAAGGGAAGAAATGAACCCACCATGCCTGTTTTAGGTTTTTCTTTCTTTTTTTTTAACGTGTATGTATGTATTGCCTGTATGTAGGTAAGTGCACCCGTATCGTGCAATGTTCGCAGAGGTCAGAAGAGACTGTCGGATCCCCTGGAACTGGAGTTACGGACAGTTGTTAGCTGCCATGTGGGTGCTGAGATTCGAACCTGGATCTTCTGCAAGAACAGCCAGTGTTCTTAACTGCTGAGCCATCTCTCCAGCCCCTATTTTTTTCGTTTTTATTTGTGATGGAGCTCCCTATGTATCCCAGGCTAGCCTTGAACTCTGAACCATCCTGCTTCAGCCTCTTGGACATACGTTTTACTTTTGGTTATTGATCTTCCTTTGAGATTATAAGGGGCCCAGAGGACGAGTGTGTGGTATTGTGGTACTCTGAAAAACTATTATTCATAAATTAGAATTAGTTGTAGAAATTATTTTGGTGGGGGGGTCTTTTTGAGACAGGGTCTCTGTAGTGCCAGCTATCCTAGAACTCACTGTGTAGACCAAGCAGGCCTTTACTTGAGAGATCCACCTGCTGCTGCAGGGATTAAAGGTGTATACCACCACACCTGACTTAATAGTAGAAATTATTATCCTACCCATAAAAGCATGCATATTCATGTCTTGAGATAGTCATAAGAATTAACATCTAAAACTTGGCCACCGTGATTTCCGTCAAGCTGGTGGTCTGAAGTAGACAGCTGAACAACTCCTAGGAATAGCATCTTTAATATTTACCTCTGGTTTAAGCCAGTGTGAAAAGATCAGCTACTATATGCAAGATACAAGTCTAACCTCAATGTATCAAAGTTGAAATACAGATAGTATGAATACCAATATAGACCTGAGTTGTGTTTTCTTTTTGTTGTTGTTTTTTTGAGTCAGTGTCTCCCTGTAGCTAGTCTGGAACTTACCATGTATACCAACCATGTATACCAGGCTGGCCTTGGTTTCACAGAGATCTAATTGCCTGTATCTCCTGAGTGCTGGGATTCAAGCCGTGTGCCATCATTCCTGGCTGGTGTTTTCTTTCTTATGTAAGTTTCTATAAAACTTTCATTCATCCAACTGAATAGTCACCTATTTTTCCTGAGGCGTTCTTGTTTTTTTTTTTTTGTTTTGAGACAAAATCTCATAGCCCAGGTTGTGCATGAATTCTCAGACTTCTGCCTCCACTTTGTGTCCCAAGTGCTGGAATTACAGGTGCTCACTGCCACACCTGGTTCGGAAATCCTGAAATACTACAATAAAAACCACAGTATAGGGTGATCTGTTTGCATCACTCCTTTTTGTGACTCTGGATATTCTGAATGTTAACTGATGTGTGTGGTTTTTTTGTTTCTTTTTGTTTTGTTTTAGAAGCTGAAGTCGTTTTTTAAAGAGTATGGACAAATAGAATCTGTACGATTTCGTTCTGCGGTAAGTGTTCTGTCCCCCTGAAAACTGTAATCTTAATGTTTGAATCAAGTGTGCTGACCTTGTTACCAGTGAGGTGAAGGAGCCCCTGACTTCCACATCTGAGTCGGCAGGTATGGTCATCAGTGTCTTCAGTGTCTGCTGTGACTCTACTTTTGAGGTGATTTCATGAGTTCCCACAATAAGGCAGTTTCTCTGTCAGTTTAGGCCAGGCCTGGATTTTGGAAGGAGGATGAGAGATTCTTATTTTCTGTGTCAGTGGAGTAGGCAGCAGAGGTGGTGCTTAATAGCATTTCTCCAGCCCTAGGCAGCACCCCTAGATGTGTTCATGCAGGGGGTGGGGGACTGGGTATGACCACACGGGCAGTGGTTATGCTCTGAGCATGGACAGGTGAGTTGTTGTTTTTCTTTGGTTTTTGTTTTGTTTTGTTTTTTGTTTTTTGGGTTTGTTTTTGTTTTTGTTTTTGGTCTTTTCAAAACAGGGCCTCCCTTTAGCCTTAGCACCTCACTATGTAGACCAGGCTGGCCTTGAACTCAGAGATCACCTGCCTCTGCCTCCCCAGTGCTGGGGTTAAAGACATGTGCCACCATGCCCGGCTTTTTACTATGTGATAAATTAAGCCTGGTGTTCAGATGAAATATTTTTAATTAATTTATTGTTAAATATTATAGAAGTGATTGGTTGGTATCTGATGTTACTCTCAACTAGATATGCTCCTGTTCCTTGAAGAATGAAATGTGCAATGAATTGTATGTTTTTCCAAAAATATTTTCCTTTTTTTTTTTTTTTTTTTTTTTAATGTGTATGAGTGTTTTGCCTGGTGTATGGAAGTGTAGCTGTGTTGTATGATGCCTGCTGAGACCAAAGGAGGATGTTTGATGTCCTGGAACTTGAGTTATGGATGGGTGTTAGCCACCATGTGGGTGATGGGACTAACTCGGGTCCTGTGCAAGAGCAGACAGTGCTCTCAGCTGCTGAGCTCGCTCTCCAGCTCCCATATCTTTTGTTTTGTTTGAGAATATGCAGTTTTGTTTAAGCAGGATCTTACCGTATGAGCTTGGCTGTCCTGTAAACCAGGCTGTCCTACAAACCGGACTGTCCTGTAAACCAGGCTGTCCTACAACCATGCTATCCTGTAAACCAGGCTGTCCTATAACCAGGCTGTCCTGTAAACCAGGCTATCCTACAACCAGTCTCTCCTGTAAACCAGACTGTCCTGTAAACCAGGCTGTCCTATAGCCAGTCTCTCCTGTAGACCAGGCTGGCCTGTAAACCAGGCTGGCCTGGAGCTCACTAGATCCTGCTTTCTCTGCCACCCAAGTGCTAGAATTCAGGTGTGGGCCACCACACCCAGCAGTGTGTTCTTGAGAACTATTTTCACTGTAATTATTGTGTGTAGGCAGTGCTTCCCTTGTTTCTAATTGTGCTTTCTCACATGACTCTCTGAAGCAGGGCTTCTCAGTCTGAGCATAATCAGTGGTGCAGTGCTTGCCTGGCACAGGTGTCGAGTTTCCAGCTTCTGTATGATTAATGTGTGGGCTAGATGATTCTGTGTTGTCATGGCAGCCTTGTGCACTGCAGGATGTTTAGCATCTCGCCCTCATCACTATGTGCCCACGGTCTCTCCCCATGCAACAAAGACATCCCAAAATGTTGCCAAGTGTCCTAGGGGACAAAACTGACCACTTTAAAGGCAGACATTGCCCAGGATTTTGACAGTCCCTTTCACTTCTGTCCATGTGCTTGTTTTCTACTGTTACCGTTTTCTTCTGCCCTGCTGAGCCCCATTTCCTGCTGTGAAGGCCTTTCTGACATGCTAACAGGTTATGCTGCGTTTGCCTCTTCACCTGCACGCACTCTCCTTCCCTTCTGCTGTGAGGCTGCAGGGTGTGGCATTACTCTTCTTTTTTTTAATATTTTATTTATTATTTTTATTTTATGTATATGAGTCTGGCCTGCATGTAGGTAAGTGCACCCGTGTCATGCAATGTACCTGGACTCTTCTTTGGCCCACCCAGCCTATTTCTTGCTTTCCCTGATGGCTCCTAATCCACTCACTCCTTTCTTTTTCCCTTGGCCTCTGTCCATCTGTTGCCTCATAGAATAGCTGCTGGGGATGCTGTGGTTCCTCCCTTCAGTCTTCTCTAATTGTCGAGCGCCCACTACTGCGAGTCTGGCCCTCCCAAAGCACTGCTTTCTAGAACACTTCCTTGCCCACTTTTCCACTTCCTCCCTCATACGTACACACACACGCACCTTGGACTGATGTTACCTCCTCACCTTAGGGAAGCTTGCTAAATTCTTCCTGTTCCCAGGCTACTGGTGTGTGTGGTGGCCCATGGATTCTTCAGCCTCATCCTTCAGTCCAGCACTCTCCACCCCTTGTTTTTCTGACCCCCGTGGCCCTCCCACTGCAGCTGCTTTGTAGATGCAGTTTGTCTTGCTTCTCCCCTGGTGTGACTCACTCCTTGCCAGTGTCAGTGAAATATGTCCTGACTTCTTTGCCTGGAAGTGTTTCCTACAGGATCAAGAGTTCAAGATCATCCTCAGCTACATAGTGAAGCCCAAGCCCAACCTGGACATGTAGTCTTAAGAAACCTGGACCTGTCTTAAAAAAACAAAGACAGAACTGAAAATGCTGCTAGTTTTGTTTTCACTCACTAGAACATAGAATCTCTTAGAAGCACAAATGAAGTAATTTGTTGTCTTGTTTATCAATTCAGACATTGTAAATTATATGGAACAGTTAGGTTTAATTAATAGATGATGCTTTTTTCCCCCCAATTTACTTAATAAAATTTCCTGACTTTTCAACACCCTGGTCTCCTCTCCTTGGATTCATCTCCATGTTGGAGAACCCTGTGTCTGTACACGGACTATGCTGTTTGAGAGCGATGGCCTCTTCATTTGTGTCAGGCTGTCCATGGGGTTTTATATCATTATCCTCAAGGTCTTTTTGGTGTTTTGTTTGGCTATTTTGAGACAGGCCCTCCTGTAATCTTGACCTTGCTGTGTAGCCGAGTATGACCTTAAACCTCCTCTTATCCTTGTCCCTCCACCTCCCAAGTACTGGGATTACAGGAGTGTGCCACCGCACCTGACTCTCAAGGTCCTTTCTTGCAGCATTATGATAGTCATTTATGATTTGATCATCTCCCTAGAATGTTTTTACTTATAACATGCTGGTTAGAATATTTAGGCTTCTATGAAAATGTAACTTATGTGGCTAGGGGTATGAAGGAGATAGAGCGCATGCTTGGCATGCAGGAGGCTCTGAGTTCAGTCCCCAGCACCAGAAAAGATAAAAATGTTAACTAATTTCAAGAAATAGTTCGAATATTGATTTTTTTTTTTTTTAATCTTTTTGAGACAGGGTCTCCTTATAGCAACCAGGTGGCCTGTAACTCGCTATGTAGATCAGGCTGTCACAGAGATCTGCCTGCCTCTGCCTCCTCCCAAGTGCTGGGATTAGAAGTGTGCACCACAACACCTGGCTCAAATATTGAATTTTTAATTGTTTTTTTTCTTCTTCTTAAAGATGCCAGGAGAGGGAACTCTGTCCAAAAAGTTGGCTGCAATAAAGTAAGTTTATGAATCGATTCTTTTCTTTTACTATGATATGAGGTCTACCTTGATGCATTTAACCACACCTATTGATAGATATTCAGTGGATATTTAGGTTTCTTTCAGTCTTATCATAAGTAACACTGGAGTGAATGAATGACCTTGGGCAGTTTCTTTCTTTTTTTTTTTTTTAAATATAGTTTAATATTTTATGTGTATGCATGTATTGCCTGCATGTAGGTAAGTGCACCCATGTTGTGCAATGCCCGAGGAGGTCAGAAGAGGCTGTCAGATCCCCTGGAACTGTAGTTATGGACAGTTGTTAGCTGCCATGTGGGTGCTGGGATTCGAACCCGGTCTTCTGCAAGAACAGTCAGTGTTCTTAACCGTTGAGCTCTCTCTCCAGTCCTGACCTTGGGCAGTTTTGTACATGTGCTACTTTTTCTGCAGGATGAGCCTGAAGTAGTGAAGCTGTTTTGCATTTATGATGCGGCTGCTGTCCCAGAGTCGGTCCTGTTTCTATTCTCATCATTGTAAACAGTAGAGTTTGTACTTTGAGAGCCGTGTGCTTTCATCTTTTTTGGTCACCAGCAGCTGGTGAAGGTGAGTGAGGATCTGTTGTCAGGAGGTCTCAGAGCACCTTTGATCTGTCATTTGCTCTTGGTTTAGTTGTTTCGATCTGGTTTGGTTGTGGTTTTTCTTAGCTGTTGAATTGTTAGTCTTGATTGATAGCCCTGAAATAAACCTTTTGTGATAGAAGTTACAAACGTTTTTCTATATTTGTCATTTACATTTTATTTTTTGCATATAAGGAATTTTTCCATGTAAAACTTCATGCTTTTTCATACAGCCAAAAAAATTTAAAGCTTTTTTCCTTTATTAAAGTGTGATTTACTTTCAGTAAAGCTGCACATTTGAAATGTCTAACTTTAGGACTTTATGTAGACCAGTGTAGAACTCGTATAGCTCTTCCTGCCTCTACCTTTTGAGTGCTGGGATTGCAGGGGAACACCACCATACCTGATCAACTTCAGGACTGTACCATGTGGGCACTTGTGAAGTCACTGCCACAGTATGTATCCTGAGTACTTGTTTAGCCCAGGCCTCCTGTGCCTTTGCATCCGTCTACCCCTCTGCTTCCTGAGTGCTGGGATTAAAGTTGAATGCCGCCATGCCCAGCTCATGAGTTTTCCAGGGTGTTCTTATTTCTGAGTTTCAGAATATATATTCTGCATGCAAAAGTTTTGCTGTCTTTCAAAGGATCAAAAGGATTTGAAGTTTTACATTTTACTGATAACTCAGTGTAGATTGTTGCAAGTTAGTTAGTGGGCCTGAAGTGTGGTGGGAGTGAGGGCAGCGGGCTCTCTGCTGTCCTGGTCCAGCTTCGGACCCAGTTAGGCCCAGGATTTGTTTGTCAGGAGGCTGTGGTCAGCTCCTTCTTGCTGTGGCAGACTCTGCCTTCCTTTTTTTCTTTTTTTAAACATCAATTTATTTTGAATGTGTCTGTGTGTGGCATGATCAAGCCGAGGCACAATTGTGATAGTTGGCTTTCTCCTGCCACGTGGGACCCAGGTATTGAACTCAGGTTCTCAAGCTTGGCAGCAGGCACCTTCGCCCTCTGAGCCATCTCACTGGCCCAGGTTCTGCCTTTTCCCTTTGATGGGTGTTATGTAGCAGACCATTCTATGCCCTCCCCTTGACAGGAGATTTCCCTTCCTCTTCTAGCCTTAGAGTTTTATCTGTACCACGAGTGACAGGCTTGCTGTCGCTACCCCTGGATCATAGCCTTCATCAGAAGAATCCAGGCAGAGCTAGGTCATTCTCTTCAATCTGTTCACGTAGATGTGCCCTGCCTCTCCTGTGGAAACTGGTAGAGACCAACAGACCATACCCTGTGGACAGTGCCCCCTCCTGCGTCAGTGACCACTGGGGTTCGGCTGAATGTGGAAACTGTGCTGCTCATAGCTCCTTGCAGGGGAGGGGCCTGGCCTTAGTGTCAGGCTGCTTGGTCCCAACTCCAAAACTCCAGCTCTCTGATGGCTTCTACCAAAGTTTTGATGCTGTGGATCGTCTGTTAAAGGCAGGAGAAATGCTCTTTCAGGCTTCTGTGTTGTAGTTCAGGATTCCTCTTGGAGCTGAAACAAGGCTACCTCTTACCAAGCCCAGTGAAGCATAGCTGCCTGGTATTCATTGACAAGGACGTCTTTCACCAGAGAATAACAAAGCCACATTCCATTCCTGTGTCCCTCAGATTGACTGGCTTTGGGTATTGTGTGGAAAGGGTAAGGCACTGGTCCACTAGCCTTAGTTTCTGTTCTGGACCATGCCTTGTTAACCTTATGGTCACCGTCAGATGGTATAGTGTGTAGAGTGCCATGCACTATGCCTGGCTGTGTTTGCAGTTCCCGTATTAATGGTGCTTGTTTGCATGTTGGCATTTTCATGACTTCAGAGCAACAAATTGGTGATCATTACTAAGTCTGTTTTTCTATTAATATTTTTACATCTGAATTACATCTGTATTGTGACCCTTTTGTAAACCTAGTCGGTGAATGGGTTTAGGCCTTTGGCAGTACCAGCCAATTTTTAAAATTGAAAAATTGGGCTGGGAAGATGACTGAGTCACTAAAGTAATTGCCTTGCAAACTTGAGGACCCAAGGTTGATCCCTAGAACCCATGTAAAAAAGCCATGTGTGTTGCCATGCGCTTGTATGCTAGGGAGAAAAGACAGGTAGGTCACTGGGGTTTGATTATCGGCCAGTGTCATCTGTTTGATCGGACCCAGGCCAGTGAGAGACCCTGTCTCAGAGAACTAGGTAGGGCCAGGGAGGTAGCTCAGCAAGTAAAGGTGCCCACCCCCAAGCCTGATGACCCAGAGCCCACATGGTGGAAGGAGACAACTGAGTACTACACAGTGTACTCACTTCCCACCCCTCAACTAAAGAACTCTTTTCTGTTGTGGTTTTGGTTTTAGGATTTTTTTTTTTTTTTTTTTTGACAGTCTCCCTGGCTGGCCTAGAAATCTCTATGACCAGAGACCAGGCTGTAAACCAGGCTGGCTGAGATCTCAAGAGAGCTGACTGCTGTGCCTCCCTGAGTGCTGGGATTAAAGGCCTGTACCACCACACCTGGCTTTTTGTTTTGTTTTGTTCTGAACTAAGTAAATCTTTTAAAATCTTTTATTATTTTTATTTTATGTGTATGAATATATATTGGCTGCATGTATGTGAGTGCACTCGTGTCATGCAAAGCCCACAGAGGTCAGAAGAGGTTGTTGGATCCTATAGAACTGTAGTTAATGACAGTTGTTAACTGCCATATGGGTGCTAGGAACCAAACCTGGGTCCTCTGCAAGAGCAACCAGTGCTCTTAACCACTGAGCCGTCCGTCTCTCCTGTCTCAACTAAATAAATCTTTAAAAAAGAAAAAGCTACAGTAAGGTAGGTGGTACTTGTGGAACAGCTGTGGTTGACCTCTGGCCTACACATACACACATAAAAGTGAAAAGCAGGGGCTGGAGAGATGGCTCATTGGTTGAGTGCACTGGTTGTTGAGGCAGAGAACCCAGGTTCTGTTCCCAGCCCCCACCCACATGGTGGCTAACAGCTGTCCTTAACTCCAGTTCCAGGGGCTCTGATATTCTCTTCTGACTGTTCTGTGGTCATTACACAACACAGGTGTACTTACATACATGTAGGCAATCATAAATATAAAAATAAACCCCAAAAAATTTAAAAGAAAAAAACTGAAAAGTGGTTGTAACATGTCTCCTTGAGAAAGAGCATAATGCCTAGTATGGTTGTGGCAAAGGCTCCACGTCTGAGTCACATCAAATCTTTGGATCCAGTTGTTGGTTTGCAAAAGATAAAGACAAGGGTGCACGTCAAACTGCAGTGCTGTCCACGGCCAGCCAGGTGCAGGCTGTGGAAAATTGTGCAGGTCAAACTGTCAGAGAGATCGAGGGAGAATCTGCAAACTGCAAGACTTAAGTCAAAGAATGGACAAATAAACGTATAATGTGTAGGAACAGATACAGGTAGGGCATATTGTAAGCAGGGAAGCAGGTCAGGTGTACAGGGGATGGTGATTACCATTGGAGGGAAGGAACAGTACAGCTAGCTGGGAAGTGCCACCAGATAGCTCCCAGGTGGGTGACAGCTGTGAGGGCTTTGCTAGTTACTTACTGAGCTGTTTGTGGCTGTGCACATTTCTACATATGTGTTTTATTTTGCAGTGAAATGGAATCACCTTGCTAGCTAGAGTTGCAGCTAAGATATTTCATCTTCTGCTCTGGGGCTGGTATGTGGGGGTGTCCTGTTCTTGCTGTTCCCTCACAGTGATAACTGCCAAGGAAGTGTGGGCTTCCTGTTCCTCCACTGTCTTCAATTTGACATGCTTGTCTTCTTTGTGAATTACTGGACATTTACTGAAAAGTTGAAACTTCCATGTGTCAAGTGTAGAAAACAAACTGCATTTGTTGTAATAAGTTTGAGGTTAGCAGATTTTACATTTTTTTCCTTCCAATTTTTGTAGACGTAAATTTCATCCTGATCAGAAAAGCATCAATGCGTATGTTGTGTTTAAAGAGGAGAGTGCTGCCTCAGAAGCATTGAGAAGGTAATCTTCTCTGAGGTCTGAAGGGCCTTGCTGTCCTATGTTTCCTTAGGGACTTTTTCTTATTCTTTGGTTTCATTAGAGCAAATATTTTCATAATTAGGTGCTCAGTTTCAACAGCCATTTTCTCGTATTTATAATATAGAAATGGAGCCCAGATTGCAGAAGGATTTCGAATTCGGGTTGACTTTGCATCTGAGACCTCCTCTGTAAGTAGAATGTGATTTGTTTAAAGACCTTAACCAGCGAGCCAAGTGTGGTAGCAATCTGTAACCTCAGCACTGGGAAGAGGAAGGGCATGATGTGAAGGATGCATAGGAATTACAGACTAGCCTGGGTGATGGTGGAAACGACATCTCAAAAAAGCCAAAATAAGGTGGGCATAACAACTCAGGCCTTTGATCCTAGCACTGGAGGCAGAGGCAGGCAGATCTCTGTGAAGTCAAGGCCAGCCTGGTCTACATAGTGAGTTCCAGGCCAGCTGGGGCTACAGAGAGACTCTGTCTCAAAAAAGCCACCCCCTCCCCGCCAAAAAAGCCAAAATAAATAAACTAAACCAAAGCAGCAATAAAAGTATCTTAAGAGCCTTGCACAGAGGTGGAACTGATGGTGAGCATGAGCTAAATAAGAGGAATTCCATCTATGTTTCCTGGGGTCACGGTGTTGGTGCTCAGAGAGTCACAGAACTCAGGTCAGCATTAGCTTCAAGAACAGGTCGTTCATCTTCTATTTGGAGGCAGATCAGATGCTTAGGGAAAGGTGAGGGCTCAACTGGTTCTGCATTTTGTTTTATAGACTTAAGTCTAGAAAGTTGTTGCTCATGTTGGGCTGTTGGCTTACACCTGTAATCTCCATGCTGGTGAGGTAGAGACAGGAGGATCACAAGTTCCAGGCCACCCTGGGCTACATAGTTGAGACCCTGTCTTCAAAATCCAAAACCCCAAAGTTATTAGAGGTTAGGCAAACAAGACAGTCTCAGCTCTTGAGTGCTGGAGACACACAGAGAGACAGACTGATTAGTTTATGGTAAATGCCGTCCTAAGCAGACAGGACGATTTGTCTCCTCAGGAATGGGGAACTTGGGAACAAGCCAGCAAGAAAGGACGAGGAGAACAGATGTCAGATCAGTCTTGAAAGATGGGTAGGCATTCCCTAGACAGGAAAATGTTTTCCAAACACAGTGGCACTGTCTGTGCAGTCTAAGCACTAGGGGGTCAGAACTCTGACTTGTTCAGGGCTTGTTGTGGTTAATGAGTAGGTACGTATGAGCTGCTGCTGGATAGACAGGTTAGAGGCCAAACCATGAAAACCCCTGCTTTGCCTTGCTTCCTGCAAAAGAGCCTGAACTTTTTCCAGGAGCAGTTCCAAAAGTTTAAATGCTGAAGCAGTGTAACTAGGTGGCAGGTGACAGTGTACCTTCAGACAGTGAAGCACAGATAGGTGAACTATAGGGTTCACCTACAGAAGTGTGTTTCGGTTGGCATCAAAGTCACTGTTCTAGTTTGCTTTTCTATTGCAGTGATAAGGACCAAAACTAGTTGTGGGGAGGAAGAGGTTTGTTTCTGCTTGCCACTCCACGGTCACAGATACTCACTGAGAGGAGCTCAAGGCAGAAACCTGGAGGCGGGAACTGAAGCAGAGACCATGGGGGAGCTCCGCTCACTGGTTTGCTTCCTGCTGGCTCAGCTGACTTTCTTATATAGCCCAGAACCACTTTCCCAGGGATGGCTTCACCCATAGTAGGCTAGGCCCTCCTGCATCAATTAGCAATCTAGAAAATGCCTCACTGGGGGCTGTGATGGCTCAGTGGTTAAACACACTGACTGCTCTCCCAGAGGAAAGTGCCTCATTGAAATGCCCATAGGCAGATCCACAGAGACAATTCCCCAGCTGAGCTTTCCTCCTCCCTGGTGTCTCTAGTTTGGGTCAGGTTGAAAAAAACTAACCAGCTCAGTCACCTAGCTGAGAAATAACAACAGAGGGGGCTGGAGAGCTGGCTTAGCTAAGAGCACTGGTGCTTTTCCAGAGGACCCAGGCTTGGCTTCAGCACCCACACAGCAGCTAACAACTGTCCATAACTCCAGTCCAGGGGATCTGATGCCCTCTTCTGACATCCACAGGCACTGCACAACACTAGTGCACTTATATATATGCAGGCAGTACACTCATACACAGAAAGGTACTAAATAAACTATTTCTTAAGAAAATGGCGCTGGAGAGATAGCTCAGTGGTAAAGAGCACTGGCTGCTCTTACAGAAGACACAGGTTCAAATCCCAGCACCCACATGGCAGCTAACATCTGTCCCGAAACTTCAGTCCCTGGGGATTCAAAGCCCACTTCTGTCCTCTGCGGGCATTGCATGACATGGGTGCACTTAAATGCATGCAGGCAATACACTCATACACATAAAATAAAATAAAAATAAATTTTTTTTAAAAAAAAAAGAACAGAAATAACAGCCCAGATGGAAGCTCTGACTAGATTAGGAATGTAGCATTGGGTCAACAAGCAGTGACCCTGAGCCACATCCACCTGCCACCTGTTTTTAAGTTACCTGCTTATGGGGGCTGAAGCATGGCCCAGCAGTTACGAGCTCTGGCTGCTTTTGCTCAGGACCCAGGTTTTTGGTTCCCAGCCCCCACATGGCCACAGAACAACTGGAACTTCAGTTCCAGGGGATCTCACGCCCTCTTTTGGCCTCTGCAGGCTTTGCACACATGTGGTACACGATATACATGAAGGAAAACCCTCATTTACATAAAACAAAAAGTAAAAGTTGCCTGTACACAACCGCACATTTGCTTCTGTCTTTGGGCAGTTCTTATGCTGTAACTGGGGAGAAGTTGCAGCCTAGACCACACAACCGTTACAGCCTAAAGTGTTTGCGAATTGGAGCCTTGCAGGCAGAACTTGCCAACCTACAAATAACAGGCAACCCAATCACCACCTGTGTCGGTGCTACTGTGAATGAAGTCTTTCCTCTGCTGCTGTTACTTCTGTCCAGAGAGGAGACATGGGCAGATGTATGGTTAAGCCAGGAGGTGGGGTGAGGAGGTCGGGCGGGGGCAGTGTCCTTTCCATTTTGTAGTCTATTGAGTGATTTTTATTAACCCTTTTTATGTTCCAGCGAGACAAGAGATCAGTATTTGTGGGGAATCTTCCTTACAGTAAGTTTGTTTAAACAAATAAAACACAACTTTTTATTAAATGATGGGAGAACAGGGGACAGTTTAGTGGCAAAGGCCTTGCCTACTTTGCACGGGGCAAGTTCAGTTCCCATCATAGTAATAAAAAAAAAAAAATGGGGGCTGGAGAGATGGTTTAGTGGTTAAGAACACTGGTTGTAGGCCAGGCGTGGTGGCATACACCTTTAATCCCAGCACTCAGGAGGCAGAGGCAGGTGGAGCTCTGTGAGTTCAAAGCCAGCCTGGTCCACGTAGTGACTTCCAGGACAGCTCGGGCTACAGAGACACCGCAGCGCCCACATGGCAGCTAACAACTGTCCATAACTCCAGTTCCAGGGGATCCAACAGCCTCTTTTGTCCTCTGCGGGCATTGCACGACACGGGTGCACTTACCTACATGCCGGCAACACATGCATACACATAAAATAAAAATAATAAATAAAATTTTTTAAAAAATTTAAATGAATTCTGGGTGTGGTTACTAGTGAATATCTTTAATTCTAGCTATTGGGGACTGAGGCAGCAAGACTAACAATTGAAGCCTCTTAGCTGCCTCAAAATTTTTTTTTAAGAATTTGGGATGTAGATCAGTGGCAGAGAAAATGACTGGCATCTCTGAGGCTTGGGTTCAATTCTTTTACCAACAAAAACCACAAACAAGACCTGAGTGTTGAGTTGATGTTTTGCTTATGCCTGACTTTAAGAAGTATGCTTTGGGGACTGGAGAGATGGCTCAGCAGTTAAGAACACTGACTGTTCTTGCAGAAGACCCAGATTCGAATCCCAGCACCAACATGGCAACTAACAGCTGTCAGTAACTCCAGTTCCAGGGGATCCGACAGCCTCCTCTGTCTTCCGCGGGCATTGCATGACATGGGTACACTTACCTACAAGTAGGCAATACACACATACACATAAAATAAACAAATAACTAAAATATTTAGCTGGCCATGGTGGTGCACGCCTTTGATCCCAGCACTTGGGAGGCAGAGGCAGGCGGATCTCTGTGAGTTCAAGGCCAGCCTGGTCTACATAGTGAGTTCCAGGACAGCTGGGGCTACAGGGAGACCCTGTCTCAAAAAAAGACCAAAAAATGAATGAATGAATAAATAAATAAATAAATTATTTTTTAAAAAGAGAAGCATGCTTTGTAATGTTGTGTTTCCATGAGGCTATGCTTAACTCCAAGCATTATCAAACCTTTCCAGCTTTCTGAGGAGAAGCTGCATGTTTACTTCAGTTTTTGATTTGTTTGTAGAAGTTGAAGAATCTGCCCTGGAGAAACACTTTCTGGACTGTGGCAACATTGTGGCAGTGAAGATTGTAAAAGATCCACTTACGGGAGTTGGCAGAGGGTTTGGCTATGTGCTCTTTGAGGTATGGGAGACCAGCAGCTTGTTGCTGTCCTTGAAATGCTGAAATATCTTTTCACTGCTGTGTCATTCAGATGTTGCACTCATCCTCAGGTTCTGACTTAAGAAAGCCAAATTCATAACCTTCACAATAGAGTGCTGTGTGTGCAGCTGTCACAAGCAAAACCTGTGCTAGTTCTTTGTGTCATCTTAAGAATATGAAGGGAACTGGGCATGGTGGTGCACGCCTTTAATCCCAGCACTTGGAAGACAGAGGCAGGCAGATCTCTGTGAGTTCAAGGCCATCCTGCTCTACATAGTTCCAGGCTAGCTGGGGCTACAGGAAGATTATATAGACCAGACTGGCCTCTGCCTCTCAAGTGCTGGGATTAAAGGCCCAATATTCTTACATAATTAAAGAATGAATATACCATACCTACTATCTGATGGTGCTTCAATTTTCCTTTATTCAACAACAACCCATTAATGTATTTCTTTCCATTTTTTCCTGTGCAGTCTTTTTTTTTTTTTTTTTTTTTTATAGTTTAACTTTGAATGTAAATTTTTTTTTTATATTTTGTTGTTGTTGGTCTTTTTGAGTCAGGGTTTCCCTGTAGCCCCAGATGGCCTGGAACTCACAGAGATCTGCCTGCCTCTGCCTCCCAAATGCTGGGATTAAAGGCACATGCCACCATGCCTGGCTATATTTTTTTTTTTATTATGTGTGTGAGTGTATTGCCTGCATTGCACTGTGTCCTGCAATGCGCATAGAGGTCACAAGAGGGCATCAGATCCCCTGGAACAGATGGTTGTTAGCTGCCACATGGTGCTGGGAATTGAATGCAAGTCCTCTCCAAGAGCAGTCAGTACTCTTAACCACTGAGCCATCTCTCCAGCTCCAGTCTCTTTGGAAGCTTGTAGAGTCCTTTAACAAACATCTTAGAATTTTTTTTCTTTTTTTTTTTGGTCTTTTTGAAACAAGGTCTCTGTAGCCCCAGCTGGCCTAGAACTTAGACCAGGCTGGCTTTGACCTCACAGAGATCTTCCTTGCCTCTGCCTCTCAGGTGCTGGGATTAAAGGTGTGCACCATCATGTCTGGCAACATCTTAGACATTTAAAATAGCATTAATGGTTCTGTGTTGGAATAAAAGATGAGGATTTTGGACCCATGTGGAACCTTCCCATGATCCTCTCTTCCCACATCTCAGGGACTGTAGGAAGATTGTCTACCTTCAACTTAAAACAGAACTTTTTAGAAAGTAGGCTTATGAATGGCTTATTACCTTAAAGAAGCCTTGTATGATGAAAAGTGAAGCCTGTGGGTTTCAACCTGATGTGAACATTTGGCAACACAGCTTCAGTCCTTCCAGGGAAGCTTGAGTGGAGCATAAACAGCAGGAGACTCAAGTAGGGCTGACCTGTCAAGTGGGGCAGAGTGAGTTCTGTGGCAAGCTTGAAGAATGATGTACGCCAATACTAGAGTCCAAATGTTACTAGTCTCCTTGCTTGAGTTTCTGCTGGAAATTAATGTTTTGGGGTTTTTTTGTTTTTGTTTGTGTGTGTTTTTTTTTTACTACAGAACACAGATGCTGTTCATCTTGCTTTGAAATTAAATAATTCTGAGCTAATGGGAAGAAAACCGAGAGTCATGCATTCTCTTAATAAAGAAAAGTTAAAACGACAGAACTCAAATCCCACCTTGAAGAAGGCGAGTAAACCTAAGCAGGGACTTCATTTTGCTTCTAGCGATGTAGGAAATTCCAAAAGTGTGTTTATTGGAGAAAAGGCAGTTCTTGTTAAAAAGAAGAAAGGACAGAAGAAGAATGTACGAGCGAAGAAATCAAGAAAGCAGAAGCAGTGAAGAGAAGCGGCCGCTCCTCTGGTGAGCCCCGGACTGAGGTCTGCACTTTCTGTGGATTGTGTATATGAATGTGCAGACATCCCCAGTCATACTCACTTTGTATGGCTTCTTTTAAGGATTGAAGTAGATGTAAAGATAAACAATAAACATCAATACTGGCTGTACTTTGACCAGGTGATTACAGACTTAGTCATGGGCCCTAGGAAGACTTGAGAACTCCTTATAACACACACTTTTTTCACTTTCATTTTTTTCTTTCTGTTACACTTGTAATAAGTAGAGTTCTGGGTTTCTGTATTTTACCATCATCCTAATCATAACTAACCAATAAGAACATTTAGTAAAATGTGATTCTGATTTGTTATACATAATCAGTAAAGAGACTGGTTATTGATGTCTTTGATAAACTAGCTATAAAGCCAGTTTCATATGAAAAATACTGTCCAAGTAAAGTGTGATTCTTAGAGTCAGAATAAAACATCCTTTCCAGCAAGTTTAAAGGCAGTATTTCATAATGAAATTTACTAATTAAATCACAAAATATGAATTTGAACAAAGGGGGAGAATACTCTTATATTCCCTGGGGGGTTGAGACTGGTTATAGCTACTGACATTGATCTGACAAATGAGTCTATGTCCAGGATGGAAAACGGGAGGGAGAGGGTAAACCAGGGTGGCTGACCCAGGCAGTCAGAGCCTATAGTGAGCATGCATCATGTCACCAAGGTGGGTCAGAGGGTGGGTGAGTTTTCAGGAATTGCTCTGAAAATCCTGTCTTTGGGAAATAGCGTGTACAAAACCTAATGGGGGCTGGGCTTGGTAGTGCAGGCCTTTAATCCCAGTACCCAAGAAGCAGACAGGCAGATCTCTGAGTTCAAGGCCAGCCTCGTCTTCTCACCAAGTTCTAGGCCAGCCAAGGCTACACAGTGAGACACTGTCTCAAAATCAACCAAAAATGTCTAATAGGACTTAAAAATATGGCCCTGTCAGGCTGAAGAGATGGCTCAGTGGTTAAGAGCTCTGGCTGTCCTTGCAGAGGATCCGGGTTTGATTCCTAGCACCCACATGGTGACTAACAGCCATCTATAACTCCAGTTCCAGGAGTTCTGATACCCTCTTCTGAACTGCATGGGCATTGTATGACACTGGTGCACTACCTACATGCAAGAATACACTCACAGGCTGGAGAGATGGCTCAGTGGTTAAGAACATTGTTCTTGCAGAAGACCCAGGTTCAAATCCAAGCACCCACATGGTGCTAATAACTGTCCATAACTCCAGTTCCAGGAGTTCTGATACCCTCTTCTGAACTGCATGGGCATTGCATGACACTGGTGCACTACCTACATGCAAGAATACACTCACAGGCTGGAGAGATGGCTTAGCGGTTAAGAGCACTGATTGCTCTTGCAGAGGACCTGAGTTCGATTCCCAGCACCCACATGGCAGCTTACCAACTGTCCTTAACTCCAGTTCCAGGGGAATCTGAAGCCCTCTCTGACCTCCGTGGCAGTGCACTACATGGGTGCACTCATACATGCAGGCAATACACTTATACACATAAAATAAAAATAATAAAATATTTTTTGCCGGGCGTGGTGGCACACAACTTTAATCCCAGCGCTCGGGAGGCAGAGGCAGGCGGATCTCTGTGAGTTCAAGGCCAGCCTGGTCTACATAGTGAGTTCCAGGGCAGCTGGAGCTACAGGGAGACCCTGTCTCAAAAAGACCAAAAAATAAAAAAATAATGAAAATAATAAAATATTTTTTAAAAAATGAAATATTGCTGGGTGTGGTGGTGCACACCTTTAATCCCAGCACTTGGGAGGCAGAGGCAGGTAGATCTCTGTGAGTTCAAGGCTAGCCTGTTCTACATAGTTCCAGGACAGCTGGGGCTACAGGGGGAATGCTGTCTCAAAAAGACCAAAAAAAAAAAAAAAAATCATATATATATGGCTCTGTGGAAGGCATAAAAAGCCATTTCTGGAGATGGAGAGATGGCTCAGCAGTTAAGAACACTTGTTCTTCCAGGGGATCCAGATTTGAATCTCAGCACTCAACATGGTAGCTAACAACCTTCTGTAACTCCAGTTCCAGGGGATCTGACATCCTCTCTCTTCTGGCCTCTGAGAGTCATTGCATGCACCGAATGTAGTGAGGGTACTTACAGGAATGTAGAAAAAACACTCAAGACACGTAAAATAAAAGCAAGATTTTTTTTTAAAAAATCCATTTTCGCCAGGCGTGGTGGCACACGCCTGTAGTCCCAGCATTTGTAGTCCCATTTTCCTATACCCAGAGACTGGGTATTTTATGCTTAATGTCCCTGACAGTATGTAGAACCTTATTTTTCACAATTAAGGTTCAAAAAATGTTACCTAGTCATTCTTGCATATTTGTATAAATTATAGACAGATGCAACATTAGATTGTGCATATGTAATCTGTGTGCATAGTTTTATGGCCTGTAAGTGGGCAGCTTAAAGCAAAGGAGATAAGAATTACATATAAATTTTAACTTTATTATTGTATGTGTGTATATGTGCATATCAGTGTACATGTGGAGGTCAGAGGATAGCTTTGTAAAGTCAGTTCTCTGACTACCTTTATGTGGGTTCTAGATACTGAACTGAGGACTTTAGGCTTGCACGTCTATCTCATTGGCCCCAAATTGTTACTGTAAAATTGAAATGTCTACTTTCATAAGCAGAATATATGTGTTACTATTATAGTTCACAATGTGAAAAAAAACCAATGTGTATTTTGTAAAAACATTTCCCAAGATGCTTTGTGTAATTCTGTTACCTGGAAAAATACTGGTTTTGTAATGTCTGATAAAATAGTTCTAACCACAGACACATATGTGTGTGGTCAACTGGTTAGAAGTTGGCTTTCAGTTATTTTAATAAAAATATTAGATAGTTTTGATTAGTCTTAAGAATTTCTTTTTTTGCTCATGAACATGTTCCCCTGACTTGGCCTCATGCTTCCTGCTGATCCTGGGCTTACAATGTTTAGTTTAAAAATTCTTTAGCGAGGGGTAGGAGAGATGGCTCAGGTTAAAAGGAGTGGCTGCCCTTTTGGAGCTTGGTTCCCAGCACCCACATGGCAGCTAAGAACTGTTTGTAACTGCACTTCCAGGGGATCTGGTGCCCTCTTTGGACTTCTGTGGGTATTGCATGTATAGGTCTACTTACATCCATGTAGACAGAATGTACATATAATTGATTTTTTCTATTTTGGTGTTTTTGAGACAGGGTCTCCCTTGTAGTCCCAGCTAGCCTAGAACTCACAGAGATCCACCTGTCTCTGCTGGGATTAGAGGCATTGCCACCACTCCCACTCATACATATAAAAAAATTTTTTAATTAAAGATTTAATTAAAAATTTATTTTTTAGGAGGCTGGGGAGATGGCTCAGCAGTTAAGAGCACTGTTCTTGCAGAAGACCCGGGTTCAAATCCCAGCACCCACATGCAGCTAACAACTGTCCATAACTCCAGTTCCAGGGGATCTGACAGCCTCTTTTGTCTTCTGTGGGCATTGCACGACACAGGTACACTTACCTACATGCAGGCAATACACATATTCACATAAAATAAAAATAAAATATACGTATATGGGTTTTTGTTTGTTTGTTTTATGTTTTAATTAAAAATACCAGGTTGGAGAGATGGCTCAGCAGTTAAGAACACTGGCTGTTCTTACAGGAGACCTGGGTTCAATTTCCAGCACTCACATGGTGGCTTACAATCACCCAGAGCTCCAGTTCAGGGGAATCCAACACACTCTTCAGACCTCCTTGGGCATTGCACGACACGGGTACACTTACATAAAATATATATGCTGGGTGTGGTGGCCCACTCCTTTAGTCCCAGCACTTGGGAGGCAGAGGCAGGCGGATCTCTGTGAGTTTGAGGCCAGCCTGGTCTCCATAGGGAATCCAGGCCAGCTGGGGCTACAGGGAGACCCTGTCTCAAAAAAAAAAAAAATTATATATATGTGCGTGTGTGTGTGTGTGTGAAAATTTAAGTACCACTGAGGGGCTGGGGCTGTAGCCCAGTGGTAGAGATCTGACCTAGTATGCATCCTTGATTTAATCCACAGTACCATGAAAAGTTAAAAAGTACTTATGATTCATTTGTTTTTTTCTAGGCTGCTTCCATTTCAGGAGTTTGTGCATGTAGGTATTTTGCCTTTGTATTAATGTGTGGCCTGGTAGACTGTATGTCATAGTATCTATTTCAACATTACCATTCCATTTTCTATATACCTGCTGTTTATCCATAAGTCATAATGTGATGGTCCCCAAAACTAGTTTTCAGAAGTTTGAAGCCTCTTATGCCAACTCTGTGGCCTTGGGCAACTTTTTTCTGTTCTGTGCGCCCAAGGCTCAGGATGAAACCTCAGTAAGAAGTTCACAGGTGCATTTTGGGATGAGGAAGATCAAAATCTGTTTTCAGGGTGTAAGGGAAAAGCTTTTGGTGCTGCTCCGTTGTGCGCACCCCTCATCTGAATCAGTGGTTTTACTTTTCGGTCCATTTTTATGTCCCATTTCCTACCCCTGCCCTGTGCCACTTTAGGTGGTGCACGCATCTCTTTGGGGCTAATTCCTAGTCTCATGTATGGCTCGTGTTCATCATTAAAACAGGACTTTCCTGGACTAGGTTAGGTTCTCCAGTTACATGTTCCTGTACCATCTTTAATAACTTCAGGCACCAACTACTTAGACCAGGGTCCATATTTGAAGGGCTCACACAGTGCTCTACAAGACTGCCTTCCCCTCAGACACCAACCACAGGTTTGTGGTGGGTTGGTCTCACTGTTACTAAGGAGCCAGCTGGGAATCTTTTGCTCAGATGGAGATCAAATAGGCAAGGAATAGCTTTAGAGTTGATATTCTTGGGACCTTGAGTGCTGAAGACTTATGAGCTGGGCTAACAGACCCAAAGGCTTATAGCTCCTAGTCCCGAGATTTAAGCAACTTAGGATTCCAGTCCTTATAGACCAGAGACACAGCTCTTGGTGCTTAGAGGCTTACTGTTGCGGTGGGGGGGAAAAAAAAAAAAAAGATTAATTTAGGCCAACAACATCGTCTTAAGCACCCAATTGAAAAGCATAATCAAAATGACTAGCATTTTTAACATTTTATTATTCTTTTTATATGTATGAATGTATTGTCTGGATGTATGTAAGTGCACCCCTGTCTTGTAGGGGCTGCAAGAGAGTGTCAAATTCCCCTGGAACTGGAGTTACCTGTTAGCTGTCATGTAGGTTCTGGGGATTGAACTCTGATCCCCTATAAGAGCCAGTGCTTTGAACTCCACCCCAAGGCTTTTTTAAGAGTCTAAAGGATGTCAGGCGTGATGATGCATGCCCTTTATCCCAGCAGAGGCAGGCAAATCTCTGAGTTCAAGGCCAGTGTGGTCTACTTAGGCCAGCTGGGGCTATAGGGAGACCCTGTCTCAAAAGGATCAAAAACAAAATGAGTCCAAGAGATTATACCTCCCAGATATTGGACTTAAGTGTAAGCCACCAAAACAGTGCCCATTTTAAAGATCTAAAATCAAGGGCTGGAGAGATGACTCAGCAGTTAAAAACACCGGCTACTCTTGCAGAGGATCTGGGTTCCATTCCCAGCATTCCACATGGTGCCTAACTCCAGTTCCAGGGGCTCCAATGCCTTCTTTTGACCTCTGAGGGCATTGCACAACAGTGGTGCAATACATGCAGGCAATATACTCATACACATAAAACAAAATAAAAATATTTTAAGGGCTGAAAAGCCAGGCGCACACCTTTAATCCCAGCATTCGGGAGGCCAAAGCAGGCGGATCTCCATGAGTTCAAAGTTAGCTTTTGAGACTCTTGGTAGGCCCAGTGCATGAATCCACACTGAAGAACACTGGGGGATATATATATATATACACACATATATATATGTATATATGTATATATATGACTGGACAGATGGCTCAGCAGTTAAGATCACTGGCTGTTCTTTCAGAGGACCTGGGTTCCATTCCCAGCATCCACATGGTGCCTAACAACCATCCGTAACTCCAAGGAGAATTCAACACTCTAATCTGAACTGGGCAGGCCCTGCACAAC